ATTGAATAGTATAATAATTAATAATTTGTTAAATTTGCCAAGATTCATAAACAAAGGTATAAAAAATGTTCATTTCAATTAATTAAAGGTTAAATATGCCTAATCATGTATCACAGGGATTAAAACAAGAGTTTGTTATTTCAAAATTAAAATCGCAAATTTTCCTATATTAAAGAGGACGAAAAATTGGTTAAGGATAAAAGGATGTGTGTGTGTGTGTGTTTTTTATTTTTTTTTTATTTGTGATAATAGGATATGTTAATAAATCATATTGTCACGTTTACTATGGCTAGTTTTTTTTTTTTTTTTTTTAAGTAAGTCACGGATGTCTCGTTAGTGGATGGCTTATTTTATAAGAAAAGTCAACATAGACATTGACTTGCAATCATTTTTATATTAGATTGGCAAGGATAAGAACATTTCACATTTTTTAGTATTTTATATATCATCATGTAGTTATACGAAATATTAATTAAGTCAATCAATTATTAACCACAAGCTAGTTTTGTCCAATTATATGAATCGTTGAGATTCATTCTACTTTACTTAGACCTTCCCATAATAGAAAAATGGGAAATTGGCCTGATTTACCCTTTTACTTTAAAAAATAGTATTATATTAGCCTCGTTATACTATCAGGTCATTTAAACCTCTACCGTTAATGAAATAGTCACATTAGCCCCTATTTTTAACAGATTTTCAACTAGGATGGAAAAAACTTTAAAAAGTTGTATTTTTGCTAACATGGCTACTTTTTTAGCCATATATTTTATCTTTTATTAATATACCATTGTGTTCTTCCCTAAATTTGGCTTACTCCATGGCGGGACCTTAAGTTTCTTTCAAAACAGCATCATAGAAAAGAAAGCTCTTTTCAAGCAAAAGCAAAGAAAAAAAAAGAGCATAGAGAGCGATGTCGAAAAAAATACAAAAATACTGAATAATTTAGTAGGATTTTATTCACTGAGCCTAGCAAAAAAAATCCGGCAAATCGACTCAATGCTCTTGCGATAATTTGTTGCCTTTTTGGCATAAAATAGCAAACTATGAAAGACCCATATCCACAATTATTTCAAGAGTTTCAATTAAAACCAAAAAATTATGAAGTTGAAAATTGAAATTAAGAATTGAAACAAATAAATTTGCAAGCAAAGGAAGACACCAATAGAGAGATTAATGAAGGATTAAGTGGTTTAGACCTTAGAGTTCTAAGCCTTAAACTCATACATATATTGCACAGGTCAAAACCCTAGTTTCTGTTTTGGTCAATTTCAAAGCCTCCAAAAGAATTTATTCTAAAACTGAAATTATTTTGGATTGCCTCTTATTTATTTGACGGGCTAAATGGGTTATGAATTTTCGGTAATGGGTTATTTTATAGTATATGAGTTTAAGTTATCATATGGTATACTAATACTTAGTCCTCCGTGTCAATTTAAAAATGGATCCGTAAATAAGAAAAAAACAAAAGAAAAAATAAGGAAAAATTAAGAGTTGGTGAGGTACCATGCCACACAGCGTACATCTCACCCAAAATGTCAGGCCACATTAGACTTAATAACCGGGCCCTTGCCCCGATAGAAATATATTAAAAATAGGGAAAAATGTGATTACTTTACAAACGGTAGGGGTTCAAGTGGCTAACAGTATAACTTAGGATAATATAGAATTATTTTCTAAAGTAGAGAGGTAAATCTGACCCTTTTCCTTGAAAAACTATGGTTTAAGACTAACAAGGTGTGTATGTGTGTATGTTTATGTCTAACATATACTTCCGATCAGGAGCACATGCAGAATTTTTTGAAATCAGTATCGATATTTAAAGAAGTATACAAACAAATAAATATAGTAACAACATTATATTAAAAAAAAATACCTCACTATAATTCTTCTCGATGAATTTTCATATTATAGAAGGTATTCTTAATAGCCTCATTAGATATAAGACTAAATACATCCTTTTCTATATAAGACACCAAACAACTACTCAAAAACTCATTATCCATTTGATGATATATTCATATCACCTATCCAAAACGCACAATAAAATATTACAGAATAAAATAATATAGTATTATTTTTTTGTTTCAATCAGCACTGAATAAAAAATAGAAAAGCAAGTGCATTGTTGGGTGAACGAACAAAGTACCACATTGGTAGCTGAAAAGATTGAGGTCCTTTGAGAAAAACCGTGCGGGCTTGGCCCAAAGCGGACAATATCACACCATGTTAAGAGTGTATTTGAGCTAGTTTATCCCAACAACTGGTATCAGAGCCCAGGTTCAGCGGGATGAGTATACAGAGTGATGGTGCGGAATAGTCCACACACAAGAAAAAGCTAGTTGCGGGCTTCGGTTGCCATGATACTCTAACAATATGGGTTGCACATAGTGAATCTCGAAAATTGACCCGTGACTCGTGGTAGTGAGCCATGTGGAACTTAGTTAGAGGGAGAGATTGTTGGGTGTGCAAACAAAGTCTCACATTAATAGCTGAAAAGATTGGAGCCTACATATAAGGTGTATGAATCTCTTAATGGTGTGAGACCTTTTGAAGAAAATCGTGCGGATTTAATCCAAAACGGACAATATCACATCATGTTAAGAGTGTAGTTGGACTAGTTTAGCCCAACATGCATGATACATACGTAATATCTTATTTGTAGTTATTGATCCGTCAAGTGAAAGAGAGAAAAGAGCAAGAAAAGGAAAAATGACTGAAGATACATTGTTTCCTCCATTTCAACTTTCATTGAAATTATTTTTCAAAGATATAGTATTGTTTTTATCTTGGCTTATCCAAATTTGGTCTTGTATTATTTGAGATTGTTCAATTTTTCCTTTCGTTTAATATTATTTTTAGTCATTAGTGAATTGTCTCAAATCTGTTGTTGCTATTAATGGAGCTCCAACAATAAAATGAGTGGATACCACATGTATAAATTATTTGAGAGAAAAAACGAAATTTATCCTTCAACACGTAGATTTGGTTTAAAATTGCCCTCGAGTTAGAGCTTCTTTAGGGAACAAGGGTAAAATAAAATTATTTATAAACTGCAGAGATAATAAACCAAAATTTTAACAAAGAGAAATACTTAATTTCAAATAATACAAGAACATATTTAACCGTTTTCGAGTATTAAAAAAATACTTACTATTATACAATGCTTTCACCATAAAATTATTAGTTGGGAAACTCGCTATCGATGATTATTCATCTAACCTATTTTCATGCAAATAAGGTACAATCTATGGTCCTTTTTAAAATACCAATAAAGATCTAACTGGAAAAGAAAAAATATAGTATATATTTATAGTTGGAGGAAAGATAATAATTCTAATCACAGTAATATTAATTATTTATTCGACAAGCTTTACTTATGAAATATAAAGAGAGCAAACAATTTTTCCAGCTCTTTGTAGATTGAATAGAAGCAAAATAAATAAATAAATAAATAAATAAATAAATAAAGATTATTTTAAATAGAAGTGGGCCAAATGTGTAGAAAGGTCGACAAGATAATATCTAAAGAAAGATTAGTCCAAGATTATAATTTTAGCTGCATTTGTTTTATAATATAGATAGATATTGAAACTTACTTGGATGATTGTTAACTGTTGTATTGTATTGTATTGATACTTTAAATATAATATTTGTTTTGATTGTTACTTAAATTTTATTTTATAATTTCGTTAAATCCGTCGATACGTAATGACGAAAAGTGTCACTTTATGAAATAACGAATTTGGCATGGTGGTATCTATCTTACTCTTTTCCCTTATCTTGTCCTTCCTTATTATTAAATAATCATATTTTATCATTTACCCTTTTTTTGTAATAATTCTACTCCTTGTCCTATATTTTCTTAGTAATGTTACAAATTTATTCTTCATATTGTTGGCGCTTGACAATTGACGTCATAAAACGGCAACAAACAATATTTATCCAAGTGTTGTATTCGTTAAACAATGCAGTACGATACATTAGAAAACGACACGTAACAACATTTTCTAACAAGCTCTAATTAAGGGTTGAAATCAAATTGTCAAAATGATATCGCCGTTTTCTTAAATCAAATGAAACGTATTAAAACTTATAATGGTGATGTTGCATATCTCGATTATTTCTGTATGCACCCACACCCTATTATCAATAATTTTGCTCATTAAAATTTAAGTAAATAGAAAAGAAGTCATAAATAAACATTAATATACTTCCTCTATCACAATTTATGAGTCATATCTCTTTTTAGTCTACCTAAAAAAAATCATACTTCACCAAAGCTTAAGTAAATAAAAAGAAATCATAACACGAATAATTAATTTAATTTGTAAATAAATAAATAAGGTCGGTTTACATATTATACTAATACTTTATTTGTCCTAATTAGGTATTGTATTTTTCTTTTAATCATCTCAAAGGAATATTATATTTTATTATTTAAAAATATTTTAATTTTAAACTTTTTATTATACTTTTAATGAATTGATATATATAGTCATATTTAAACTAATTTTCTTATTTGGATGGTTGTTACTCATTGTATCGTATCGTATTGTTACTTTAAATATAATATTTGTTTTGATTGTTACTTAAATTTTATTGTATCGTATCGTTAAATCCATCGTTAGATAACAACGAAATGTGCCACTTTATGTAATGACCGATTTAGTGTGGTCACGTCGTTACCTTGTCTTTTTCTCTCAATCTCACCCTTTATTATTATTAAATTATTTTATTTTATCATTTACCCTATTTTTTATATAGTAATTTTACCTTGTATCATAATTGTTTTTATAATATTACAAGTTTATTCTTCGTATTACTTATGCGTGATATCATGAAATGATGACAAACGATACAATCTATCCAAACATTATATTTATCAAACGATACAGTGCAATATAATACAGTATGATACGATACATTTGGACGCGTAACAACCATCCAAACAAGCTGTCGACACAAACATAAATTGGGACGGAAAGAGTAATATTTTGGAGAAATGACATAAACCAAACATGTATTGAAAATGCATTGAAAAGACATTTTCCTATTAGCTTTACCAATATATATATAATAGAAGTAAATAGAATTTTGAGCGGTTAAAGTTAACCAATTCTTCTCTTCTTCTTCGTCATCATCCTCCGCTGCTCATAAATCCCCAAATAATTTACCTCAGTTCCCAATCGATCTGAATCTCTTGGTTTCTCCGTTTTCCGGCGACTTTTCTACCGGAGCTTCTCCATTTTCCGGTAATAATTCCGTCTGCGAATTCGCCATTTCTCTCTTTTACTCAGAATGTGTTTGTACAGATATGTGTACGTTTTTGTGTACAGAAATACGAACAATTAATTTTCACACACGCGCACACATTGAATTCAGTTTGATATTCTCATCAAATCATCTTAATATGAATTAAAGCGGAAACTGTTGTGGAGATTCAGTTTTCATCATTTTTTTTAATCCAAAATTTTACAAAAAAGAAAAGAAAATAAAAGACAAGAACTAAATCATGTGATTAGATTTATAAACAGTTCTGTAAATTAGTAAATTTTGTAAACAGTACTTTTGCGAGTTTATGATCAGTTCAAAATTTTAATTTTGCCAGCTGTAATGTCAGATATTTTCTGTTGTTGTTCCATATATATATATACATACATATAGTTTCTTCAATCATATGAGTATGTATATATTGGTTTGTAAGTTTTTTTTCCCTGTGATAAATCGCATTTTTTTTTATTTTTATGACAACTATCCACTACCCGTAGTACCCCGTAACTCTGTCCACTAGGCAGATAGGAAGAAATCACCTAAAATTTTTACATGCGAAAATTGCTTATTTATTATGTGTGCATATAAACCATGTAATGCATGATCTACTTGGCTTGTTTCTAGATTATTTATATAGCTTTTATTATGATTATGATTGATAGGTTTGTGATGAGCTAAGTTATAGGTATTTTCACTTTGTGAATTCTGTGGGAAATGAGTGTTGAAAGATGAAGAAAGTGAAGAGGAAGCTTGGGAAGTATGAGCTTGGTAGAACTATTGGGGAAGGCACTTTTGCCAAAGTTAAGTTTGCACAAAATACCGAGACGGGGGAGAATGTTGCCGTTAAAATCTTGGCGAAAAGCACCATTCTTAAGCACAGAATGGTTGAGCAGGTACTAAAATATACTTCCTTTCGTTTAAACTCTCGAGTTTATGCTTCATCTATCCTGCAAACTTTGTTTTTTTTCTTTTTTTTTTTTTTTGGTTTTGATCAATGGCGCTGTTCATATATCCTGCATTTAAAAGGTGGAGCTTGATAAATTAGAATTTTTTTTCAAATTGGAAAGTGATTATTCTTAAAACGAAGTTTGAGTTCACAAATCTCTTATGTCGAATTCATTAGCAGTGGGCGGAGCCATAAGTTCCTCTAAGGGATTCAAAAAGAAATACTAAAATGTCACACCTAGGATTTGAACGAATGACCTAAAGCAATTCTTAAGAATCCATGCACTAAAATAGAATGTTCCTTTTTCAAGGGGATTCAACAGTTCATATATAACCGAAAAGATTTTTTTGGCCTTATTCATGCAGTATAATTCCCCGGCGAAGGGGATTCAATTAAACCCCCTTGGCACAAGCTAGCTCTGCCCCTGTTCAGTAGGCTTTTCTGGTTTGATGTGAAGCAAGAGTAACCATGACATTTTCCATGGTAATCTCTTGTCAAAATCGAACCTATGTGAATGTGTGTGGTATCTGAGCTGAATCTCATTAATGAATATCAATATGTTCATCTATTTTTGAGTAACAATACAAACCTCAGTAAGTTGATGGTTGACAACAGTTTAGCTGTGTAAAATAATTAAAGCTTTAATCATATTGGATTTCGATTATAAAAATGATTTTTCTGTTAGGAGAGCATATTCTGGAGTCTGTGTGTGATTAGTGTTAGTGTCCTTGTTCTTCTTCATCTCTTGCATTTTTGGCTGGTTAATTTGTTGACTTCTTTGAGATGGTTTCCAGATCAAGAGAGAGATATCTATAATGAAGATTGTTAGACATCCTTGCATAGTTCGGCTTCACGAGGTAAAAAGAAAAAAAGAACAAATTTATGAATATTACGAGTACTACTGTGTCCAACTAAGTGTGGTTGTTTCTTCACTTTTTGCTGTTGCTGATGTTTATTGATTTTGTGTATTTCCTTATAGGTTTTAGCTAGCCAGACAAAAATATATATCATTCAGGAGTTTGTCACTGGAGGAGAGCTTTTTGATAAAATTGTAAGATTCCTTCAGAATTTTCAATAAGGTTATTACATCATTAAATCAATAACTCTTGTAGACTTGCTGTTAGATTTTCGTTGTATGTGATAATAACTTGATAGCTTTCTATTTGATAATGACTGGAAACGTATCTGTAAATGAGAATAGAGGTACGACTGAGGCACTATTGCAACTACTGTGCGTGCCTATGACAAGCTTCTATGAATTGATACTCTTCATTTATCAGGAGAAGTTGTAGCTCTGGGCCACAATACTTTAATGGAGATTCTGGAAGTAGATAATGTAGTGGTCAGCTGATATCCTTGGTGCATCCTATTCAATATTCACAAAGCATTAGACTGGTGGAGTAATCTGTATAATGAGAAAATAGAGGCATGACTGAGATATCTCTCTTTTTTATCTGGAAAATAGAGGCATGACTGATATATCAGAAAGAAAAAAAGAACTTCTGTATTCGGATAAATAGTAGTGTGGGCCACGTTTGTTATGAGGAGAGCTTGGATATAGGTTGCTTTGCACTGAAAGTAGTTGAAAGTGTGCTGAATTTCCTTCTAGAATTCCATCTAGTCAAGCTGTTCCACTAGCTAGATCTTAGCAATCTTATTGTGAACATCAGATAATGATTGGTAATGCTTAATTTGTTAGTGACAATTTAGCTTCAATTCAATTATTTTCAGACAGTAAGGTACGGCATCCAGAAGGATTCTCTCATTATGCCTGAATAGTTGGTATGAAACACGGTCCAGCCTTGTTCTGATTTCTGAACCTTTGTCCACAAGGATGGATAGGAAACCAACTACATGTATTCTTCATCAAATATATAAATTGTTGGGTTACTTAGGTATAAATTGGTTCAGTGACAGTAGTCCAGTTTCCATTTAGGCACTTCCATCTTTACTAATTTACTTCATCTCATGGAACTTTGACCTTTGTGGTTTATTTTGTCCTTCTCCCTAAATGAATTTTCAAGGTTTGATTTTCAAGATCTTGTGATGCATCTGTCTCTTCAATAATATTGTCGCTCAATTTATAGGTTCTTCAAGGTAGGATTTCTGATGATGAAGCGAGGCGGTACTTTCAACAACTCATAGATGCAGTTGCTCATTGTCACAGTAAGGGTGTTTATCACCGAGATCTGAAGGTTGGCAATTGCTGATTGGGAAATATGTTGTGAGAATTATCTATCCTAATACCTAAGCAATTAACCATTATTGTTCCTTGTTCTCCAGCCTGAAAATTTGCTTCTTGATTGCCAAGGGAACTTAAAAGTTTCTGACTTTGGGCTTAGTGCATTGCCTCAACAAGTAAGAAGCATCTCATTTTAGTTGCATTAGATGGTATAGCTATCTTTGTTTCTTTCCTTTGCCCTGTTAATTAGAGCTTCTAAAAGGCCATGTACTCAAATCTCTAACAGGGTGTCGAGCTCCTCCATACCACTTGTGGGACTCCAAATTATGTTGCACCTGAGGTATGATCCATATGTGATTTGAATCATTCAGTGACTTTTTAAGTTATTATGAGTGCTTGCCTCCTGTTTTATACATGCAACCCCTCATTCTTCATTTGATTGGCCTTCTATCTTCAAGAACCCATTTTAATCTTATACCTTAAATTGTGAACTAAGAGGAAATGATGTACTTTTACGTTGCTAGTGTTGCGACCAAAAACACCCACGCAAGTGCACGTGATCGTCAAGTAATAGAGTAGTGAGTAGAGTATCGTTCCCACGAAGACTTATGATTAACTGTTGACTAATTCAAACTCAATTAATTTGTCTATCCAAGAGGTTTTTCACTAAATAGAGATGTAATTGTTTTACTACCTAAACTACCAAGCAATAATCTAACTAGAGTTAGATTAACCAAACAAATAACAATTTCGAGTAACAAACAGTAGGAGAAGATATTCCAGGGTCACAGGCTAGTTAACAATCGTGTTATGTTCTTGGCTTAATATGACTAATCGATTTATCTGGATTGTTGATTGACAGGGTTAATGTTACTCATAAGAATCTGTCGAGTTCTTACTCGCCTATTCAAGTTAACTTAATGCCTATATGTCTATGGAATTAAGATTAACAAGAATGCATTTACAATTCCTGTATTTCAACCAAGCAAGGCAATTGAGTATATGTCTATCCCAATTACTAATCCGTTCCCCGAGGCTNACCCTAGAACAATGGGTTTTAGCCACTCATACTAGTGTTCATCACAAATAGGTTCAATTTCATCCCAAATAGCAAAAACCAATAGAAGAAAAGAAGAACTTGATGGTCAAATCTCCTCCTTGCCTCTTGTCTCTCTATTTCTTGCACTAGACTTTGAAAACCTCTTCCTTTCTTCCTTGGGTGAGCTTGACTTTATATAGGTTAAGTGAGTTTTCCTCCAGATTTCCAATTCTGCCCCTAAATAACTCTTCCCGGATTTTGGACTAGCGCGGCCGCGCACCTGGCCGCGCTAATTGGCTGAGATTCTGTCATGGACGCGCTAAAAGGAGCGCGGTCGCGCACCTGGACGCGCATGTCCAGTTTTCTGTTTCATCACTTCTGTTCCTCGTCTTCAAGCGTACTCAGCTCTGAGGGGCTTTTCTTGCTCCAAAATGGTTCCAATCACAACTGTTTAAGGCATCACCTAGGCTCCTCATCCTGCAATATATACAATTCACATTTAGAGCCTATTTTTCATCAATTAACCATATTATGATATTGGAATATAATCAAGTGGGAGCATAAACAATCGCCAAATTACCTAGATTTAACCTATTATCAGCTAGTCCTGGTTTAGTAATTAGTTTAGTCATAAGGAATCTTCAGTTCTTTTTAGTAGTAAATTCATTCATATCATTTTCTAAACCATTAAGATATCACTTTTGCCAGCTATGATTATTGTTTGGTTTTGCCTCTTCAAGATGAAGTCTTATGGGCGATGAGGAGTGCGCCTTCACGTTGTGGTGCCTGCAGTGGGTGCTGCCTAAGCGAGGCGAAGTTCTCTGATGGTATTGCACCTAGCTTCAGGGCTTAGCCGCCAAAGCGAGGCTCTGACACAATATGCTAAAGTTTATAAGTGATGACTTTTATTGTGAAAAAAAAGAAAGCTGAGTTTGTTAGTTTTAGTGCTTGTCAGTTCCACATTCTTTTTGGTCTTTTACTGAAGGGTTGTGAGTCTGTTAGACTGTTAACCCCTTACCAATTCCTCCCTAACATACTTCTTCCCTGCAATCGTTATCACACTTAATTCTTGCTAAATGCTACAGTTATAAGATACTTAAGGAATAAAAAGAAGGTTTATTATTTGAGAACTGGCTTCGAAGAATTTCTGGACTTAGCAAGAATTGGTTCTTTGCAATGTGAGAAGTTCCAAAACCATGCTACAACCCAGCTCTGGAACCATGTTTTACCTTCTAGAATATGAGCTCCAAATATCGTCTAAGAAAATGAAGTTCCTAAAGGTGTTATCTCCTATCTTTCAGCTTGATTGACTAGAAAATTAGGTTCTCTCAGCTATGTTCCCGTTCCCTTATATGTCTTCTGCGAAGTCCACAATAAAAAGTACCTTCATTATTTGTTTTATCTGCAAGGAGCTTGAATCAGAAAGAAGCTAAACAGAGGGTTTGTTTTCTTTGTTTTAATTCATTGCCAACCCTTTCACCTAGCAAGATCAATTGGCTTTTTTATTAGTCATCAAACGAGAGAAAATAGAATGTATTTCCCTTTCGAGAGCCCTGTAGTAATGTACCTTCAAATTATTGCAGTTAGAGTCAATACCCTTTCTTTGGGTAACATCATAACCTTGTGCAAATTGTGTAATATAAGAGGTTTGCACCAAGTTGAATTTGTCCGGACTCTGTCAATTGGTGAACATATCTTGATTTTCTTAAGATGTTTTTCCATATTAGAATGAGCTTGACCTCTTTCTGCTGTGGTTGGCTTATTACTCTTAGTTAATCCTTCAGGTGTTAAGTAACCGAGGTTATGATGGTGCCGCTGCTGATGTGTGGTCATGCGGTGTCGTTCTTTATGTTCTGATGGCAGGATATCTTCCATTTGATGAGGCAGACCTTCATACCTTGTATACAAAGGTTAGATGCAGTAATCACACATTTGTAATGTTTTAAATGGAATCTGTAAATGATTTTCTTTTGCTTCTTATACAGTTACAAGTGCTAATGATTAATTATGGGTCATATGAGGGACAATGTTGGTTCTTTTCTGTATTAGCAATATGATAATGTGTTTGTTTAAGAGACCAGCCCCATCTCATATGTATTGTATTCATTTCTATATGGGATTGTGGTGTAGTTAATTGCTTGATATACTTGCTTCAGTTTTCGGACCATTAAACACCACCTGCTAAGACAGTTTGAAGTTTGAAGGGTAAGCTCTATTTCACTTGGCATCGGCCACACTGCTCTTATCAAGACACTGTAGTTCCATATTTCTGATTTTATCTTAATCTGCATGAGTTGCCTCCTTTCCTTTTTTTTTTTTTTTGCTATGATGGTGGTGTCTGGGCCACCTCGTGCGTACCTCGACTATTCCATCAGGTACCTGCTACCTTTCACTAGCACATGCATCGGGCAACACTGCCAAAAATAAGGCTCGAGTAAATAGAAAAAAATCACCTAGTATTTTTTTGTCGGGCTAGGATTTGAAATTTTGAATCTGAGACCTCATGGAAAGAAATCAGCTTCCTTGTGTTTCTTTTCTTTAATATTTCTATCTTTGTTTGTTGTTGTTTTTAGATTAATTGGAGTTTTAAAAGTCACCTGACATTTCTTGTACATGGCTTACTATATATTAAAGTTATTGTTTGTTCTTGTACGCGGCTTACTATATGTTAAAGTTATTATTCGTTCTCCGCAAATGTCTTATTGGTTTTGATATTGAAACAGATCAATGCTGCTGATTTTTCCTGTCCATTTTGGTTTTCTCTTGGTGCAACATCATTGATTCGAAAAATTATTGATCCAAATCCTCGAACAGTAAGTGCAGTGATATTTTTAACCCTGATATTATGGTGTATTGTCTGTTTATCACTTAATTTTTCGATCTATTATAACCAAATGACATTAAACTTGAACTAGAAGAGATCTGAAGATAGATGGCTACCTAGAATGAGATTTCCCATCTGAATATAGAATATTCACAAGTGAAGTAGCAGAATGAAATTTTAAAAATATATAGGAGACCTCAATCAAGTATGAAATCTGAATAAACATACGCTTTTTGGACATGCTTTGTGTTTGATTTGGTCAGGTGGAGGAGTATGCGCTCATACCTTTTGGACAAAGTTAAAACATTTGACAGATATTGTCCAAAAAAGGTAAAACTGATAGATGCTGGGAACCAAGGATTTCATGTGATGGTATAAGGAAGATATGACAATCTAGCTCTCATGCGGGGGGCCGGGGTCCCCGCCGGTT